TACATTTAAATGCATTATTATTATTACTAGAATTTTGTTTCTAGAAAATCTATGATTGAAAATTTTTTTGACACAATATAGTGTTCAAATATTTAGCAGACTATGAAAGGCACCTAGATTATAAATCAAACTTTTTTACTAATTCCATTGGTTTTCATTGCCGTAGTGTAACTGACTACAACATTTTATGTACAAAAAGTATATGTACCACGTTTAATTTGAATAATCTACTGTCTTAAAAACCTTCAGTGTAAGGCTGCTTTTTAAAATTTTAATTTGTATGTACCAGTAAAAATACCCCCACCGCAGCAAACCTGCAGACTAAGCGAATTTCCATTTGAATAATTGGATTTAGACTAAAATGTCTCCTTAAAAATATCACATTTATTCCCTATTTAAATAGAATCAGTTTAACACATACTTAGGTTTGCTGCAACAGGGAGGGTAAAAGTGTTTTTTTTTATGTAAAATGTTAATAGTTAGTAAGAAATAAAAGCATTTTCCAAATTTGGGCAAAATATGTTAATAAACAAACACACCACAAAGGTTTACTTATTCTCCATAAGAATAACATGGGAATTTTAAGTTGTATTGTTTGCTGACGATACCACCCTTGTGTCACGAGGACTGCACGTTGATCAGTCTGTAGCGGGAGCAGAGCAACATTTACTAGAAGCTTCAAACTGGTTTGAGGCCAATGGCTTCCGGCTGAATCAAACTAAAACACAGTCTCTTGTCTGCAGTCTAGCCAAACGTGCTCCTCCGAATGATCCAGTGAAGTTGTTAGGATTTACACTCGACCAAAAACTAACCTGGAGTGACCATATAGACCAAGTTTGCAGTAAACTATCGAGGGTATGCTACCTGCTTCTAAAACTAAGATATCTGGTCACAGAGAAATACCTGCTGAGTGTGTATCACGCAATGTTTCATTGCCATGTGAGCTATGGCATTTTGCTGTGGGGACACGCACCCATGACCGAAGAAATATTGATCCTGCAAAAGAGAGCTCTGAGAATAATCACCTTCAGCGATGGTTTGGCTCACTGCAAGCCTATATTTGCCAGGCTAGGTATACTTACAGTGTTTAGCCACTATATCCTCGCCTGCATTAAATACGTGTTAGACAATATCGAGGAGTTTCCTACCAGAGCAGCAACACATCAACATCTTACTAGGCATCGTACCCGACTAGATGTCCCTAGAGTTAGGCTGTCAAGGACTCAGAAAGCCTTCAGTAATGGAGCAATAAACATATACAATAAGTTGCCAAACTCCATCCTGCACCTTGAAAAAAGGAAACTCCTTAAGATGGTTACAGCGTATCTCAAAGACAAAGCCTACTACTCGCTGAAGGAGTACTTTGAAGACCCTCTATTAGGCCTAGGCTGAAGTATGCCTGTCCACAGCCTTAGTTTTAATTGTATATATGTGTAAATAAGTGATTTTATATTTTTAATGACGCCATCAATCCCCCATGGGGTAAAAGATGAAGAATCGGTAATAAGGTAATAAGGTAATAAGTTAACAATTTTTTGGAATTTTCTCCGTAGCCATTAGGCGCATTATAACGCTTCAATATACTAAATTATTTATTTTTTTAAGCTCTACAAAATAGTTTGGAAAGAAATTTCAAAATTTTATGTTTTTTGGGTCAAAAATAGGAAAAACCCATTTTTACCCCATAAAAGCCCCCATAAACCCCTGTTCCCATGGTCCGATCATGCTGGTTCGCGAACTCGTTTGAATAAACGTAGGTTTACACGTTTGTACCAAATTTCATCAAAATCGGATCATTTTTGCTCGAGTTATCGCGCTAACGGACACACACACACACAAATATATATATATATATATATATATATATATATTTGTGTGTGTGTGTGTCCGTTAGCGCGATTACTCGAGTAAAAATGATATATATATGAATTTGAACGGATGGTGTTTTTGGCCTCTAGGGACCTCAAAACGAAAAAAAAATCGGTTCCGGGTCCAGGTCTTACCATGAGTACTACGGTAATAGCTTATTCCCTATATGGGAAATTCGCTAAAAACCTCTATGTCGTTAATATAACTTACACAAATATGACCCATAATCTTTATTGAACTGTTTATAATTTTAGTTCGTTGTTTGTAAATAATTTCTTGATCAGCATTGTACGTGTTATTAGGTTTATGGAAAGTAAGTAAAATTACGACGGTGAGGCCACTCCAATCATCATCAGACCCAATAGACGAATGACAAGAACCCTGGTGTCCCTACTTATGTGATAGCCAATAGGATATAAGTATGGACACCATTTAAAATTCTTGTCATTCGTCTACTGGGTCTGATGATGATTGGGGTGTCCAATTGAAACCGATCACCATTTACCATCTTTCAATTGTATTTACCGTCTTGTGAGTTAACAATACAAGCGTAAATATATGTTTTAATTGTTATTAGACGTATTTTGTATTTTATTTAATTTCCGTATTGTTTATAAACAAGGATTTAGAGGATATTTGAGAATTTAGATGTTATTTATTCTTTTTTTACAATATTGATCAGAATTAGTTGTAATAAACCTTTACGAAGTCAATTCAATTCACAACTTAAACAGCAGTTTACAAATAATTGTATGGCAATGGAACTTATCTCGGATAATACAGTATCACGAAATTGTTTTTCCTTCATCTGATGTATTTGAGCCAAATATATTTGTTTTTACAAAAAATAATAACATTTTGTATGGCAAAAGTCAGTCATAATGTTTACTTTTTCTTCTTTTCGCAACAATAACGACACTATTGTGCCTCTGTCTTGAAAAATAAGTAAAGTCATTGTTGTACAAATCGGTAGCGTGAAATCTGTAATTATTGCCATTACTTTTACAACCATCCTTCGGTGTATTTTACCGTCATCTCAACGTTCTTAATGACTAACAAGTTTGCTCTCTTTCAGCGAATTTTCTATATAGGGAATAAGATATTACCTCAGAACTCATGGTAAGACCTAGACCAGGAACCGATTTACTTTTTCGTTTTAAAGGTCAACAGAGGCCAAAAATACGGTCTGTTCAAATTCATATACATATATCCGATATTTATATAGACATTTTGTTGACGCTATTATGCAGTTTGTAAAACTGTCAAAAATAAAGAGGTTTGAGTTTGAGTGAGATAGCACGATAACTCGAGCAAAAATGGTCCTATTTTGATGATATTTGGTGCAAACGTGTAAACCTACATTTATTCGAACGGGTTCGTGAACCAGCATAATCGGATTATGGGAACGGGGGTTTATGGGGGGGGGGGTTTATGAGGTAGAAATTGATTTTTCCCATTTTTTACCCTGAAAGCACAACATTTCATAATTTCTCTCCAAACCATTTTGTAGAGCTTAAAAAAAGAAATAATTTTGTATATTGAAGCGTTGCTGTATGCCTTCATGGTTACGGAGATAATTAAAAAGATTTGTTTTTTTTTAATTCCTATGTTATTCTATTGGAGAATAAATGAACTGTTGTAGTTTGCTTGTCTATGGATATATTTTAATCAAATTTGGCAATTTGGTTTATTACATATCAAGCTATCAACAATTTAATAAAAAAATACACCTCAATACCTTCCCTGTAGCAGCAAACCTAGGTACCCATTAAAATTAATGTTATTTAAATAGGAAATAAATCTGACAGTTTGCAGGTAATATTTTAGTAGAAATCCAGCCAGGTAAATGGAAATACATCTAGTCTGCAGGTTTGCTGCGGAGGGTTATTTATTTGATAATTTATTTTAATATATCTGGTGTCAGATGATTTGAAAAGCACATCTGAAGAACGAGTATATATTAAGTCCATGAGGTTGAGCTGTACAACGGCTTTTTCTTCTCTTTAAAGAGTTTACCCTTTATACAGTTTAGCCTAGTGGTGTTAATTGACATTAAAGCAAGATCTCATTTCAAATTCACCATAATGATAGACTGTTATCTTTTAAAAAGGTCAATCAAATCTTAGGCCTTAAACTTGATCTAGAGGATATGAAGCTATAGTATCTGATTTATTTTCTTAAACGGTTAATATCGTTACAAACAATAAAGCCTACTTCACTGAGATAGCGCTATATAAGTGGTAATAGTTCATAGATTAACTTTACATTACCTATTTAATTCAAACTCTACTTATTATTTTAAGAGGTCACAACAAAGTTAAGGCCACATTATTAACATTTACTTTGAATTTTTATAATTGTAGGTTTTGAAGTTTTAAAATCCTGTACTACTTGAAACATATCAAAATCTTTAGTATTAAAGATAATTAAAATTAGCCAAATTTGACTTATCATGTTACAAAATCCTTAAGCAAATATAATTTTACAATGCATTGGTGATCTTAGGGCAGTTGAGGAGTATTTAAATATACAGTTGAGAGTTTAAACTGTATAATACATTGATATCATTTTGCAAGAGCAAGTAAGGGTTATATTCCATGTTTTTGTCAAAGAATATTCAATGGCTCGATTTGATCAATCTTAAATAAATAATATTTATAATTAAATTGGGCGTTTCAAGTCATTAGTCAAGTTTCAAGTTTGAAATTAGTTCAATAGATTATCAATTATCAATCATTGAGATGAGAACACCACCTCATGTGCCTTGTTAATGTGCCTATTAACCCAAACCACAGAAAACATACCACTCATAAGTGAAGGATGAGTTTAGCCAAGGCCACACTAAAAAAGTGTGGCCTTGCTGTAGCATGGAGTGAAAAGCCTTGTGTAGCTTTGTTACTGACTAAAATCAGCTGTTTCATTAGTCAGGATTTTATAAAAGCCCAATGATGGGTCCAGTATAGAACCATAAAAAAGTTGCAAACAGGAATAAATGAGTTACACAAATGATTAAATGGGTGACTTTAAGTACCTGATAATATTTTATAACCTTTTTCCTATGATCAATTGATTTTCCCTCAACACTTGTAACAGTACACTTTTAAAGGAAGCAGGAATTATTAAATACAAAGTTGTAATATTTTATACAAAAGTTTATTTACTTAACCTAAAATGTTTGTATCACAATATGTAGTGAGCAAAGATGCGAGTTCGATGATGAATGGATGAGTTTTGGTAACTTTACAGAAACAACCCTGAAACAAAAAATTTTGGTATAAGTTAACAATACATGTTTTAGTGGAGAAAATATAAAGTTCTCTTTTACAGAAAACGTTCTCGCAGACAGACTTTTCCTTTTTGTTTGTAGATAGATGAACCTCTAGCAAAAAGGAGGCTCTTAACCATTTGCTCTTAGTAGTATCATATAGCAAATTATTTTAGTGATTGGTGGGAATTTGATCCCAAAGTACCAGGACAGAAGTGTTAGGCTCATTTCAGGTAAATGTAATCAAATAAGCACTAACATCAAGTGATGAGATTTGTCTTAACAATTTTGCTCTGAATTAAAGTTACTTTGAGACGTAACAAATTTGTTTCTGGCAGGAATAAATTGATAAGTAATTAATTGATCGATTGTTTCTCGTGGTTTATAAAATTAGTTTTTTTAGTTTTTGAAGATACTGATTTTGGTAATTACTGTTGTATCAGATTATGCTATTGGAAGTCTCTGCCTTCGGTCAAAATAATTATAAAACAATACAGTTTTATGTGGTGTTCACGTTACAGGTGTACGATTCTTACCTAATCTTTGGATTTAGTTCCAGCCCTTGTTGCTGGAGCCGTAGCTGCTACCACTTCCGTAGCTGCCACCGTAAGATCCTCCACTACCGTAGGAGCTTCCACTTCCGTATGAGCTTCCACTTCCATAGCTGCTGCCACTGCCGTAGCTTCCACTTCCGTAGCTGTTTCCACTTCCATAGCTGCCTCCGTAAGACGAGGACCCAAGACTTTCGTGGGAGAGACTGAGGCCACTGCTGTATCCACCGTAAGAACCTCCTAGGCTGCCAGATCCGTAAGAACCTCCTAGGCTGCCAGATCCGTAAGAGCTTCCTAGGCTGCCAGATCCGTAAGAACCTCCCAGGCTTCCAGATCCGTAAGAACCTCCTAGGCTGCCAGATCCGTATCCGTAAGATCCGACACTGCTTCCCAAACTTCCAGAACCGTAACCATAAGAGCCGGATCCAATGCTTCCGTAAGAACCTCCGAGGCTACCTCCGTAAACACCACCTAGAGAACCGATTCCACTGCCTAGACTAATACCAACAGCTGGTCCAGCAGAAACGGCTACAGGCTGAGGAATGATAACAGGTGTTGCAACTGGTACGGGAACAGGTCTTGTGACTGTTACTGGGTACGGTTGAGGAACTGAAACTGGGACAGGTTGTGGAACGGAAACTGGAACAGGGTGAGGGACGGAAACGGGAACAGGTCTTGGAACAGTTACTGGGTAAGGCTTGTTAACAGTGACTGGGTACGGTTGGGGAACAGGTACGGGGTAGGGTCTTGGAACTGATACGGGAACAGGGTGAGCAACGGGAACGGGAACAGGGCGAGTCACTGTGACTGGAACGGGAACAGGTTGTGGGACGGGAACTGCTTGAGAGACAGTGTTGACTGTGATAGGTCCAGAGGAAACGCCGACGCCTCCTAGGCCAGAGAAACCGAGGCCGGAGCCGATGGAGCCTAGGGAGATTCCTGAGCCAAGTCCTCCATAACCTCCATATCCGCCTCCATAGCCACCTCCGTATCCACCTCCATAGCCACCTCCGTATCCACCTCCATAGCTCAGTCCTGAGCCAAGACCTGAGCTGTAGAGTCCGGAGCTCAAACCGGAACCGGAGCTGTATCCTCCTGAAGTCAGACCAGAACTGTATCCACCAGAGCTCAGACCGGAACTATATCCACCAGAACTCAAACCGGAACTGTATCCACCAGATCCAAGTCCATGACCGATGGCTCCGTAGCTTGAACCGATGCTGTTGCCTCCATAACCGTAGCCTCCAGTCAGACCAGAGTAACTCCTCTTCTCTTGCTTCTTCTCCTCAGAGTAAGCGGAGACGGCTAGAGCCAGCACGGCGCAGATCTGCAAATATAAAGATAAATAATAACAAAATATGAAAGGAGTAAAGAAGGACCAAATGTTGTAGCAGATTGGTTAAAATATATATAATTATTTTTATAGTTATTTAGGGATATTTTTACAACGCCTACAATTAGGTTGCTTATTTTAAAGCAAATATGAGTATCCGGTAAACAATGTGTTTCGAATAAGATGACAACTTTGTTACTGACTAAGATCGGCTGATTATTTAGGTAGGATAATTAGGGCATAATAATTAATGGCAGCTGGGTCCAGTTTAGAAGGATAAAAATATTTTGGGTTTAACCGTAAAGGTGAGCACTATATATACACTCAGCTACCAAGTCAAGCTATAAATATATCTACTAACAACTTTGACCGCACAAAAAAATATATTTACCGATGCAAAATAGTTATTTAGTTTTTAAAATCAACTGTGCAATATAAAACAAATACGATTCTGAAAAGACTTTTCAGATGGATAAACTATTTCTAAACCAAACTCATCCACTCTAATTATATTCAAAATTCTCTTATTGTAAAGAAATTGCAATATATACAGACCGAAATACAAACAGGAAGCCAAACAACTTCCTTATTCTAGAACCGGATCAAGGCAGAACATTAAATTATTCCGCAAAACCTACTCGGGAAAAAATACAAAGCGAAGAAAGTCGTAGAACCGGCGGCAGATCGTTTGCTGTCAATTAATTGTTTTGTGCCTCTGACAGAAGAAGTGATCAAATAAGGGCAATACCGCACAAATAGTGGAGCGAAGAAGGTAATGATGAATGGATGATACTAATTGTTATGGACCTACCGCAATGATACTATGTTGTATGTAGATGTCACGGTTGTGGCTGTATTATTGATGGGGTACGGACGTGACCGTATTAGAAAATTGATTAGATTGAGGTTTAGGATATTATTATGTTGGTGGTTTGTTTTAAAATTTGTAAACCCTTTAGAAGGTTTATCCTTGATCAAAATAAACTTTGAAATTTTCGTAGGGGATGTAAACCTACGCGTTGGGGCAATCCAGTTTGTTCCAAGTTAGTAAGTTAATAAATGATTAATATGTTTTCACATGTCACATATTGCCAGATTTTAAAATTAAATTTATCAAACATAATTAATTAAAACACCATTAATACATTTTTTAGGTGAAACTATTTTGTTACTACCAAACTACGGGTTGGAACAGAAAACTGTATTTGTCATGGACATAAACAAATTAAGTCAGTGGTCCAGATTTGAACTAATAACCGTAACATCTAGAACTTATTTACATTTTGATCAGTTACGTTATTTGTTTACGTTTATAATCCTTACATTTTCTGTTTTGCCAAACATAGTCCTGCATACATTACTAAATTTACTAGAGGCGCCGCAAAACAATTTGATGGGTTTTAATATGGCTTTAAGGTTAAAACTAACATTTTAAAATACAGTGTCTATAAAAGAAGACCAGGAACAAGAATATGGAAGCAGTCCGGATGAAATCGAAAGTTGAAACTGTTTTTAGACTCGCACCCACCAGGAACCGGTATAATCAGATTTGCCGTTTGCTGGGCTTTGACATTGAGTAAGGTCTTTAGCGGCTTTATCTATATAAAAAGTGTCATTCATTAAAAAGATCGCTCATAATATAAATTAATTCTAAATTGAGATGTATCAACACATGCAGTGGCGCACAAGTTTTTAAGTATTCATTTTACAAAGTAAGTCCGTTATTGATTTTTTGTACCTTTAAATTTGTTTTTATACTACATAATTGTTTTTGTATTGAATTTGATACCTTGGAATAGTATGCAAAAACTTAACAAAGATGATTAATAAGCACTAGTACTCGTTGAATAAATGTTCGTTAATAATTTAGTACTTAAAATTTATATCTAGGCTAGTTTACTGCTTTATATTTGACACTACTTTTGTACCCATAAAAATGTAAGGAAAATAACGATGTTTTGAATTTTTAATTTGAATTTAGTATTAAATAAATAAACGTATAAAACAGATTTAACACTTTAAATTAAGAAAAAATTAAAAACTAATCTCTAAATTCTAATTTAGTGTAACAAATTTAGTAGTTCGTTATCGTTGCGGGATTACTTAATTTGTGTGAATGCAAGATGTACATTTGTTTTAAAAGTTATTACCACAATCTTATTTGTATTTACAAGCTCCAAAATATTTAAAATTAATATAATAAACAAAAAGAATAAACACTATAGGCCATCTTTGTAAAGAGTTTGACATGAATAAAAAGCTATCACATATTACATAGCTATTAATTAATTACTCCTTGTGATGACTTTTTTTTGGAAAACAAATAAATTACATATCAACATCTCATTGAGAAGCAAAATAATCCAACAAATAAAGATCAATGAATAACGTTTGCATATTACAGATCAAATTAAAGTAAATAGTTAACAAACAATTAAAAATGATAATTTAAATTGTTTCTACAAGATTATTTAAAAATTAAAAAAATAAAATAACGACATAAAAACAAGTAGTACACACTGTTACCCAAAATTAAACAGAAATTAATAATTATTAGACTGTAAACAAATTAGAAAACATTTTAGAGTGTTAACGGTTATAATAATACATTTTAATCGAAATGAAAATACTATGTGTGATGGGTAAATATTAAATATTTCCAAGTAAAAAAGTTTAAAAGTTAATGTATTTGCGAAATTATATTGTCATGTCCCAAATTAAAAGTATCAAACCAATAAATAAACACGTTACCATACTGACCTAGAAAAAAATAAAAATAACATGACTATTTAGAAATGGACAATTTTTTCAGCAGTACGTTCTGGGGTTTGAAAAAATAATAAATAAAAAATAAATATGTATTGGTGAGAGATGTTACCTGTATCAGCCTCATGATGGAGTGCGTGAGTATGTGTGATGTGGGGTGCTGGCACTGCAGCGGTTATATAGTCTCCACTTTCTATTACATCATCACCCCGCCAACAGGCCCAGACTACACTGACCACGGTCAATACCATTGTGAGTCAAGGGCGGGATGCTGTCTAAAGATGACTAGGGATGCTGCGTAGGATAAGGTGTCTGTGGGTGTGCTAGGAGATGTTGTCTAGGAGAGGGTGTCGGGGATTGTTGTCTAGGAGAAGGAGTCAATGGAGGATGCTGCCTAGAAAAGTATGTCCGAGGATACTGCCTTTGAGAGTGTGTCCATGGTTACTGTCTAGGAGAGTGTGTTGTAGAGGATGATGCCTGAAAGGGGATGTCAGAGGATGCTGTCGAGGAGAGGATGTCCATGGATGCTGTCTAGGCGAGGGTGTTGTAGAGGATGATGCCTAGAAGGGGATGTCTGAGGACGCTGTTTAGGAGAGGATGTCCAGGGATGCTGTCTAGGAGAGGGTGTCAGGGGGTTCTGCCTAGGAAAGGTTGGATAGAAATCTTGTCTAGGAGAGGGTGTTCGTGTAGTAATAGGGTACAATGACAATGGTTATTTAATTTTGTATGCTTATTTTGTGTTGGAATACGTGTAAAAAATAAAAATAATGTTCCTATTCAAATAAACGCTTTTTTCTTTTTAGTTCGTATCGTTATTAGTAACCTTGTTTCTTAAAAAGCCCTACATAAGTGAATAAAGTGGTTATAAAACTGATTGCCAACTTGCGCTTAGGTTTACAATTATATTAATAGCTTTACACATTATTTCTTCACACAAAGATTTGTAATTATTGTTTTTATATGCAAAATCAACGGATAATTCTGTACAGATTCTTCTGGTACAGTTAAGGGCCGGTACCGGGTACCCTACATTTTATTTTACTAGTTATCCAACCCCAAGTAATAAATAAATATAATAATTCTTGTCTAGTTCCTAAAGATGTTAAATATTTTGCCTATAACGGGCTTAAAACATCAAATTATTCATGCAAATAAAAAACATTTAAAAATACTGTAAAATATTTTTAAACATCGCACCTATACTTTTTTACGTTTTTAAAGTTATACTAGCATACCTTTTTAGGCTGAAATTTAAAATTGTATTGAGAGTCGCAGATGTTTTAAAAATAAACGCGCATCCAATGACAGCCTTGCTATAAAATATTAAAACCAAACATTCAAAATGAAATTTTCTTAGAGCAGAAACAGTTCTGTATAAAAAGAATTTGTGTGGGCACCTAAGATTTTTTCTTGTATTAATTTGATCAAATAGTATGCAATTGTTTGACCTTAACAGATTCCTGTAATTACTTAAATAATATTATCAAAGGAGCACTGCGACCAAATACATTTGAATGTTTCCTTTTTTATTTATGTTTTTTTTATATTTAATTGTAAAAAACCATACCATGTTGTTAATCATACCGGGAAAAACACAACCCTAACAAGCCTAATGTTGTTAATACTTCGTTAATGCTTTCCATACAAGGTATAGTAAAACTCTCAATCTTTATTCCACATTTTCTTAGGTTTGACAATAATAATCAACAGAAGTTAAATGTATCCATGTGATTTATTTCAATGGCACAATACTAACTTATAATAGTCAAAATTCCGTTCAAATGTATAAAAATGTAATCACATAAAACACCTGGGAACGTGTGGGAATGTAATTTACTCAATCATAATAACAAAATGTACTTCATTAGTGACTGCTATCTACTTTATATACCATCTGAATTCATTTTCCCTTGGGCCACACTGAATAATACATAGAAATAAGAGGAGAATAATTAAATTAGCCTTACCCACTGCAATACAGTGCTATAATATGACACAATCTCTAATGCTATTACCTTAAATAAATAATCAAAGCGAATGCATGGTAATTCTTTAAAATTTTTTGCTCAGTAAAATAACAATAAATGATATGTCCAGGATGAATTATATTTTTAAAACATCAATTGAAATTGAATTAACACTGCAATATGAAAGTACCTAGATTGCCATGATGGGATTGAAGGCGACACGTAAATGGAAAACCAGCCATGATTGAAATGTCTCAGTTTCATCTTAGTGACCTTCAAACCTATCGCGTTCAATATTAATTTTAACACTGTATCCATACACATTTACTGTTGTTATCAAAATTTTTTGTTCAAATTATTTTAGACTAGGAACAACCAGTCCCTTGGACACAATTTAACAGTAACAACTTAACCCAGGGGTTTTATATACATCTAGATTGTCAAACGTTCAAAATGATCAAGATGCAATTAGAAGATATCCCAAGGCTAGCTTTTGAGCAGTTAGAAAACACATGTATCATGACATTTAGTCGATCATATCGTATTTTTACGCCGAACTGCATCCTAAAAGATGAGCGACATTTCCCCTGGCTTTCGTTTTCTTCGCAGTTTGTACAAAAACTTGTCTGGAGACTGCGGAAACGGAACTAGTTGAGTCCTGGGGGCGGACATTTGTACGTAGTCGATCTCCTACGCTGGGCAGGGTCTCAAACTAAACTTTTCCATGGGGCTGGAGTAGGCTACCTTTACTTTTTCAAGGGTTGTAAAAGGGTTAAACATGTGATAACCACAAAATAATTATCCTATGATTTAATTTGCTAATATGTTGAGTTCTCGAAATGCCACCACAGAAATTTTTATGCTACCAAAAACGCAAATATTTTTACAAAGGTTGAAAATCAATCGTTCACTCTGGACTTCAGTTTAATTTTAGCTCATGAGCACTTTATAAATACTTTACAAATCAACCAACAAATTGTCACATGGTTTTGTTGCTTTAGTTAGCAAAAATGTTTCGTTCGTATACAAAAGTTTTACAACAATTTTACAAAATAGAGGAAACATATCAGAACTTAACAAAATAAGACGACAAAGTCTTGTCGTATTTATTTAATTTAAAATATAGGTCAAGTGACTTGTTGACCAAGTATTATGCCAGTCAAATTGTAGTTCCCTAATTATTATCACACATTAATTTTATAGGTTTGCACACCAATTCTGTAAAGAAATGTATGTTTACAATTGCTAAACCAAAATGCAACACTAAATTACTTTGTTATACTTATACAAGTTTAATTACTGTATCCACTCTAGGAGTAATCAAGTAAACGTTTCCTCTGACAGCCGCCAATTTCCAGCTCACACCCGGAAGACACTATACCCCGGAGCACGTTGCATTGACAGTTCATGATTCACTATTGCACTTTCTATAACAGGCTAATGTTGCAGTGACCGGACAGGCGGTGGCGTTTAATACACAAGCAATCATCTACAAGCAGACATGTTGAATGTGGAGTAAGAAGTGGGAAACTTACTGGTTTGAGAAACGTGTTCTGCGACAAACTATATTCTAGATTCTAGAATCTTCTGGTTGTAGAATACAGCAAAAAATGTTTAAGGAGGGAAGATTGATATAGGGATGATTGGGTTTGGATTCGGCTACCATTGCTAAGAAATGGAAGCAGTATTGAGTAAAAAAGGGACAATTGTGAAATATCAACTGGAAATGTATGTTCAGAAAGATTTTCATTGGGGTTATTTAAGGGTAAAATATTACCATGTAAAATGATTTCAGGACGATCTTTTTCGAAAAAGTAGAGCCTTTAAGAGTTTAGGGGGTCAAATGGTTTTAGGATTATATCGAAAACCAACGGGTTGGACATAAATTCGTTGATTTCAGGATGATTCTGATTTTAGATTTTTTCTATTGTACATTCTTGAATTCTTAAGATTTAATAACAGATAGTATAGTAGGTAGAAAAGCATATAGCAACTTCTATCAATAAAGAAACTTAATCAAAACTAAGAACCTATAAATGGTGTAAATGGTACCCAATGATCAAGCTTATGTAATACTGTAAAAACTAATCGTATGAAGAATTGCTTAAATAAAAAGTTGAGTGAGCACAACGTTACATAATTTAACAATTAATACTTACATTAATTACTATATAACCTGATTATTCGCCCAGTAATTGTTCCAACTCACTTAACAACCTCTATCAATCACATGTCCCCTTTCTATTAAGTTTACATACAAAGTTAACCAACTGTTACCAAACATAGACAACTGCAATGCCGCCCATTTCCGTCGAAAGTGCAAGCCAACTTTTTGCAGGGTTGTCACTGGAGTCGTCAGTTTTATTTATAGGCTGTTATCTTGTTGGGCCAACACGTCTACATACTTTGTGGTTGGATGAGAAATAACCCCTGTTTTGAGGCTACATTTATAGGAGACAGGAAGTTTGTTATCATTTTGATTTCTTATAGAAGTCTTAGAGATGATTACCACTTATGTTAGGTTACACGAACTGTCACAGTTAGGCAAATTTGGGCATTTGCATACCTCCAATCCAACAAAGATTGAACTCATTGGACACAATTACACAATTTTTCACCATCTAGGAATACGATGGTAGTCAAAGTAGCACACGATGACATTACAAAACAGTTTATGTAAGATGTCCGTAACGCGCGTATTACAGTTAAATGCCCGGGACGACAAACAGTAGTGACATTTAATTGAAGGTTCGTAGTTATGTAAAGTCGTGTTAACCCACTGGTCAGTACAGGGTGTTCTGATGCTGGTCACCTCACAATGTTGAGAGTGGATTAGCGCAAGACTTTAGACTTAGGACTTAATAGTACCAAAACCTAGTGCTCGCTTAGTATCTTTAGCGAAGTACTTTGGGTAAGTGTTTTAACTTGAATATGAAAACAGGGTGAGTTTAAGGCATGTAGCCGATCTGTGCTGCTTTGTTACTGCCAATGATAAGCAGTTCCTTGAAGTAGGATAATTTATTTTCCCATTACTCATGATAAAAGGACACAGTTTCAAAACTATAAGAAATAACTGGAATTTCCTGGATCGAATCGGCGACCCTCTGATTGCCAGGTGAGTACTAAAACTAAGCTATCCAAGGGACTTTGCCATGATGCG